TGCTGGGAAATATGTACAGAAAATATGTAGGTTCTTCTAAAGTTCTAATTAGTTCAATTTTATGTTTGTGAAATTTGAATATAATTGTGGGACCTTTTGCGGAAATTAACCTTTAATGCTGTAGAGGAAACCTTCAACAGATAAATTTTAAGACTAATCATTTTTATTCTAATCATTGAAAATTTCTCGCTAAAAGGTTGCAAATTAAATTGAAGATACTTCGACACAGAAAAACTGCTCCCATTGCAACAGCCCATGGGAAAGCCTTGTGGGAAAACCTGTTGCCCGCAAATGCCAAAAATGTTGCCAAGACACCAGCAGCATGTGTCTAGCCAGACACGTGGGTGGCACGAAACAGCAAGCGAAACGAAATGGAAATGAAACAAGTTCCACACACCAACGTGCTTCGGGTTTGTCTTCGTTTAGCGTACGATTTGGACAAGTTTAGTGCCCTGGACGAGGGGCAACGATAAGAGGGGCTTGTGACCGGGGAAGAGCACATAGCATGTCCATGTCCATGGTCAGGTCTCGAGCTTAAAGAATATTTCAGGTGCGGGTGGTGGACGGACTACTCAGTTGACTTCATTACCGTGGGACGGACACTTGAAACGAAACGAAACGAGGAGGAGACGACAAACAGCGTAAAGGGACAAACGTCGAGTGCGGTGCCGCCTAATGACACACAGCAGATACGAGGTGTACTTCAAAGCTCTTCTTCATACGATCTCATCGCCGACCCTGTGTGTGTGTGTGTGTGTGTGTGTGCGTGATAATGATACGTACGACCTGGCACTGTTGACACCCAAAGCATCCTTTAAGCCTCCAGCATCCAGAGCCTCCAATGGCGTGTCAAAACGAGGTGTTAGAAGAGGATTGCAACATGCAACACCGGCCTGGACTGGGCTGGGCTGCTTGTCATTTCTGTCTGGCACTTCCATTGCGTGTCTGCGTCCTTCGCTTATCACTGTATTTGGGCTTAAAAGGTGTTAAAACTGCCAAATGCTCAGCTATCGCCACAGGGACACTGTCCTTTAGCTACAAATTGCATAAATAAATATTATTGCATTTGGGGTTTTCGGCAGAAAAAAAATCGACAGCTTTAAAGTGCGAAATGTTGCGCGATAATATTAATGAAATATGATTTTGATTTTTGTTTTAAACTCAAGCAACTTCTTGCAATATTTGAAATATTAAAAAGAAGATCCATCGAAGAGCAATCCTTCCTGTCCCTTCCAGTTTATTCCACTGCACACCTGACAAAACTTGTAAAATAATTCCCAATGTGTGACACACCGGCAGCAGCAGCAGCAGGCGCCCTGGCCCCACCCCTCCACCAAAAGCATAATTCAATAAATAAACTTCCCCATTATAATTACTGAATAACTCACTCAAGAGTTGCTCCTGTGGCATGCCACATGAGCGCAAACCCCAAAGATACATACATGCTGTACATACGTGCAAGTAAATGGAAATATGGCTCGAGAATGCAGCACTCGATGGCTGCTATCGTGGGTAATTAATAAGCCATGGCAATGGCAATTTTTTCCACTAATCGTTGCAACAAATTGCGGCATGTGTGCAGCACACGTTGCACAAAGGGGACGGGGTGGAAGCGCGCTGCATTTCCATTACAAATTGCAAATGAACGCAAATCGATTAAGTTGTTTGCTTTGTGGCTGCCTCCCCATGAGAAGGCGCGGGGCGCGGGGCGGGGGAAAATATGAAATGATCATGCAAATATTAGAGAGGGGATCGGGACTGGGTGGTGTGGCACTGGCAGGTTACGATGCACGTGCTGAAAGACAACACATTAGCTTTGTTCTATGGAGTGAAAGTATCGTTGGCTTCAGTTCTCTTTCCGCCCCTTTCCGCCTCCCCCCTCTCTGCGCTCCAATGCTCAGTCTAAGGCGGCTGTCTGGCAGCGTGCATCTTCCTTCTATTTGCAACATTTTGCGGCCAAACAATGCGCTTGCCTCTGCTCCACCAACCGCTGCCATTGAACTGAGAAATGTTTATTTAAATGCGCAAAATGCGTTGTGACTAGAAGTACAGTGGGCATTCGATAGTGGCCAAAACAGTTATGAAAGTTGACTGAAAATATTGTGGGAATTTCTACAATTTGTAACAGAAATTTCTTTTAATGTTCCTGTTCCATTTTGAGGTTTAAAAACTGCAGAAGAAAGGCAATCAATTTTCCATCTCCAATTTTCATCGGTGATATGATGACACTGTCAAAGCAGATTTAATAAGTTGCATTACATTTCTTTAGTCTTCTCAAACTTCGCGCTAAAAACACTTTTATGGCTACGAAAATTTTTTTTAACTTTTGATGAGTTTTGTGTTACAGTTCTGGCCACTTAGTGAGTGCCCACTGTGTGTTTACCTGCCGCTTAACTAGCCAACATGTTGGAGGCACACACAACCAACGTTTGCCACAAAGCAGCCACAGAGGCACAAAAGTAGCCAGCCCAGCCACCGAGCATGAGGCAGCCAGAAACCACGGCACATCCGACCGAACGACCGAGCGAGCGACCTTGATTGCCGGAGACCATTAAGTGCAGCCAAAACTGTTGCGCATGCGCACAGCCTTCGCTCCATTTGCTACTCCGTGCCCCACCACCTTCCCTCAATGATGCCCCCCCTCCCTTCCAGCTGCTGCCACCATCGAGCAGCTCCGCCGTCTGTGTAAGCGGCGGCATAATGAGCCGCGCAGTTACATTTATTTTAAATCTGATATACATATTTCTCTCTGCTTTTTTTTCCTTCTCTTTTTTTTGCATTGTGTTATTTGGGCCTTTGTTTTGTTTTGGATTTGTTGTTGTTGTTGCTGGTGGTTTTTTTATTTTTTTTTTTGGCCAGACTGCAGCTGAATGGCCATTGTTGCCCCACCGTCCGTCGTTCCAGCCGCGTCTCCACTGTTGCCTGTTGCTTGTTGCCGCTGGCGACTCTTACAAAGACTTTAACCAAAAGCCTAGGCAGGGGCTTCTGATAGATTCCAGGGTAATGCGAGCATGCCAGAACTTTGCCATGGCGAAAATTTACTAGAGAAAATGGGAAGAAATTTTTGAAAGAGTTTCGGCAGAGTGCTGGCGATTTCTCTTAGTAATTGTAAAAAAAACTATAGCCTACGAAGTAACAAGAATTTTGCACTTTTTAATCAAAATTTAAAGTTTAAGATATTAATTTAAATTTACTTTAAAACAATATTCAGCTGCCACGCTTGATTGAATCATTCCTGAAGGAATGCCCTTCGTTATTCCTTCGATTGCCACGGACATCACCCATGAAAAGCTTCAAAACATCCTCTAAGTACTCTACCCATTAATTCGTTAAAGGGTCATTCAACATTCGTTAGACATTCTGTACAGTGAAGCGCGCCTGCGCCTCCGTCTTCTTATTTTGATTGTGATTCGGCTGGGTAAGGTAAGCAGGGACAGAGAGGACAGGGAACAGGGCCAGGGCCTGCCAGGCTACGCATGGCTGCTGCTGCTGCTGCTGCCAGAACGCAAATGTATGCAAAGAGCCATTGAATTTGCACTGTCGATCAAGGGGGGTACAAGGAGTGCAAGGAGGAGTACCTATGGGTTGACTAAAGAATGGTTGCAGATTCTTGCGTCTAGATTTTGTGTTTATTTTGCCCCGAACAATGCACATGAATAATGTGTGTGAATCGCGAATCGCGCCCCGAAAACCTGTGCAGAGATCGGCCAGAGATCTCTACCCTATTCCCCCACCCCACCCACCAAAATCCCCCACCCCCTTGCAGAGTGTGTGCAGCAGTTTGTGGCATTAATCAAAGCGCACTCGCCGACAGACAGAGTCAGTCGCCATCTCTCTCGTAATGACCAAATATAAGAAAATGAAATAAGCCTCAAGCCCCTGCCTGACCAAGCGGACCAACAGAGAGATCTCAGACGGATCTAAATGCATTGGCAAACAGAAAGGCATTTGGCATTTCACACTTTTACAGCCGAAAGGCAGAGGCAGTCGACCGCCGACCGACCGCCCAGTCGACCATGGCAAACGTCGAACCTATTGATTTAAACAATCTTTTTTCCCTTACATTTTCTTTGATTTTTTGTTTTGTTTTGTGTACTTTTTTTGGAGTTTTTTTTCGGGAAAGCGTTAACTTTGTTTTGGGAATTAAAATTTGAGCGAAACGTTTACCGTCTCGTAAGTATCACAAAGTCACAAAACAATGTGGGAAAATCATTGAAGCAATGAAGAAACTCATGAGAATTGTTTTGTTTCCTAAGCTTATTTCTAATTAGTAGATAATTTACTTATAAAATGATTTAAGTTTGTGTTAAACTATTAACTCAGTGTAGTTTATTTATTTGTTATTTCTTACATTGATTGTTTTCATATGTATTGTTTAAATTAAGTTAGAATCTCGTGATTTTAGCTTACTGATAAATTTGTTGAGTGTTTCATCGCACTTTAGGCTTTCATTAAGGACTCAATTTTATTCAAAGATTTAATAAAGTGGCATCTCACAAGAATATAACACTCATAGAATTTTAAATGTTCAGAAATTAGAACCGGCCAGCTTAATGTATTGAGCTAATGTTAAAATAAAAATAAAAAAATGAATATTGGTAGTTTTATTATTGATTTTTTATTTAATTTATTATATTTTTTTATTTTAGTTTTGGTTTTTTTATGAATTGTTTTGTAAAAGAAAGGGGTAATAACTTTTCAGAAATTATAATAGCCCGAGGAAAAAAGTGGCTATCTTTTTTGAGATTCCACTTATATTATATTATATTATATTATATTATATTATATTATATTATATTATATTATATTATATTATATTATATTATATTATATTATATTATATTATATTATATTATATTATATTATATTATATTATATTATATTATATTATATTATTATTATATATTACTATTTTTTACATTTTTGTTAAATTTTCTTTTCTTTGAAAATTAAAGTTTAAATTCTATCTCATTTTCCTGGTTAATATATTAACTTATAAATCGTTCTTACAATATTATATATTCCTGAAAATACCATGATTTTTGTTGTTGGACTAAACCCGAGCTTCTGAGTCATAGGTTGTGTCAGGACTGGCTTCCGCTACACGGTATTGAGGATTTGGTGATGCTGCAGATCCTTTTGCGTTATTTCCTTTCCGAAAGCTGAATTGGGAAGGGGAATAAAAACGGTATAAAACTCCACATAAAATATATAAATACCTCGAACATTTTATTTTAAAATTAAAATCAATCTTTCTTTTGTGTTTGGGTTCCTCCTGATGTACCGTTTTTGGCCTTCATTATCATTGCAGATAGCCAAAGCTCTCTGCTCGGCAGCAGCTCCTGGCGCAGACACAAAACTGTTGGCATTTTAATGGTCAAATAATATTACAGTTGCAGGCGGCATTTGGCATTTTGTTGAATCTGGAAATCTTTAGTCCAAGGCGGTGTTAACATCGCCCCCAAAATTCGTGACCAACAAACGGAGGAGTTCTGCCACCAGCTGCTGCCTGAAATCATCATCATCTGAAGAGTAGATATACATATACATATATGTATATGTATGCATGTATTCGTACCTGTGAATGTGAATGTGCATGGGGCGCATATTGGGCTTAAACAATTCCAATTCCTATATATTCAATTATTGTCTTTCTGCTATTTGCTCGCTAGAGATTCAAGGCGGATTCAAGCCAAGTGCAAGGAAAGTAGACGTCGCCGTTTGAGCTCTTCATTCGGCAATGGCAACCGAGGGGATGCGCTGTAAATACTGTTTAATCGATTGGGTTTTATGCAGATGATATTTTTGAGCTGTGAAGCCATTGAAATGCGCATCTGAAAGCTGAAAGAGCGAGCTTTGGAGATAAAAACTTACAGAAAAATAAAGTAGCATATTCCCAGAATTTCCACTGTCGACCTTCCACTCTCCTGAACTTTTCTAGCGCTCTTTTTGTTGATCTAATAGCCCAGACACGTTGATCTGTGATTAGAAGATTGATCCATTCATTTGTCAAATTTCTGACAGTTCTCCAGTGCACTTTCCATGTGGCAAGCCATATGCTCTCGCAGCTTAAGTGTAGAACCCTTTTTTTTCTACTACTACCACTACTACCGGCGGCAACGGGCAACGGCGGCTGCTGAGTCAAAAAGTTGTGGCTGCTGCTGCAACTGAAGAATGCAACAAGAAGCATTGATTTCAAATAAATTTTGCTGCCGGCCAAATTGTATGCCGGGTTGCGGCTCTTTTCGGGATAGTTGTTTGCTCCATCGATGGGTGTGGGGGCAGGCATCGGATCGGGTATTGGGTCTGGGTCTGGGTCTCTCGATTCGTGCCGCTTGCTGCTGCTGCTGCTGCCAGCCGCAGCTGTGGGTGTGTGTCTTGGGTGCGCGCACAGAGACAGAGGCAGAGAGAGAGACCCAGAGATAGTATGGAGGGGAACAGACAGACAGATAGACAGACATATACACACGCCCCGATGCAGGCGCTGATATGGGATGCATGTAAATGCAATCGTATCTTACGGCTGTGCACTTTCTAGTCAGAGCCAGGGACAGAGCCAGGGACAGAGTCAGAGCCACAGCCACAGCCAGAGTCGGAGCACAAGTTCAAGTTGCACGTTGCACGTTGTTCGCGCTGCTCTCCATCTGGCATTGTTTGCTCTTCATTGTTGTTTTCTTTCTTTTTTTTTTTGGTTTGGTTTTTTGTTTTGTTTTTTCGGGGGATCCGTTGTGCGGCGGTGCTGCGGTGCTGCGGTGCGGCGCTTTGGCGCTGCTCCTGTTATTCTACTAAGTTGATAACCATGTTCAAATAAATCACCTTTTGCGTGGCTGCAAGCGAAAGGCGAACCTGGACGATGGCGATGGTAGAGAGATGCTGCACTGCACTGCACCGCACAGATGAAGATGGCAGATGTGGGGGCGGCGGGGGCCACATCCACATCCGTGTGGCATGTTGCGGCTGTTTGCGGTAGGACCAACTATGAGTCGCTTGTCGTTGCATTTCGGCTTTTATCTTTTGTTTGCAATATTCAGATGCATCTCCCAGATAATTTGTTGCTTTGCTAACCGAAAAGGTAACGTTGGCTTCGGTTTCGCTTTTGGTATCGCTCGATCCCCACCCCCACAAGGCACTATGCCTCATGCCACCACCCACCCAGCAAAGGTACAGTGGTACCACATTGCTTCGAAAGGTGGGTGTTAAGTCTGGGCTATGACTTATTTGCTCTGTGGATGACCTGGGAGGATTTAGGGCACGAGGAAAATAATAAAATATTTTCGCATAGGACGCATAGGTCTCAAAGATTATAACCAGATTTTTTCCTGTGTCATCTTACCTTCCAATTCCATAAATAATTATGTTATCTAATAGATTCCAGAAAACTATTGTGATTAAAACATTTTTATAGGCAGCTAAAATAAATTTTCTCAGCGCCAGCTCTCATTTCCGCTCTCTTCCTCTCTCCTTCTGTCCTTCTGTAACTTTATTTTTCAAAAATATATTCCCATCTCGAAGATTCCTTATTTTTTTTCCCCCAAATAAACCTTTCCGTTCCCATAACCCATTGCCTTGGCCGTTGCACCACTGTCCCCTGGTCTATGTGCGATTATTTTAGCATAATAAAAATATATATCTGCAAAATGTTTTTGTTTCTGTGGCTGGGGGCCCTGGATAATGGCATAATGTGCCGCAGCAGCCGTCGCAGTCGCAGCCGCAGCCAAGGCCTTGTGCCTGGGCCTTTGATGCCATATCGATTTCAAGGCACAAAAATTGCCATATCCGCCCCCCCAGTCGCTGTCTCTCACCTCGCTGTATCTGTATCTGGCTCTGTATCTGTATCTTTGCAGCTGCCGTCAATTGCCAGGAGACTTTGGGGGGAGCGGAGCACTGTTGGACTTGGACTCAGACTCAGGCCCGAAGCTGTTGGTCTCATTAGCCAACTGCGCGGGACAGTAAACGGAGGGGGGAACAGGGTTACAACACAGACAAGTTTTTGCTACGTGACAAAGTCACAACACTTGACACACACGTTCCTCCACACAGGAGGAGCAGTGGAGCAGGACGGGACGAGACGAGAAGGAGAGTAGAGAACAACAAATTAGTAAAAGTTACAAATACTTGACCTTTTCCTTTTCCTTGGCCATGTAGTCTGATTAAGTTGTTGCTTATCAAATGACATTAACTAATTGCAAAGAACCTGCGAACGAACCATGAGGGGTGGTGCGGGGCGGGGCGGGGCTGGGTTTCGTGTCAAATGTAAGTCAGGCGCCTTAAGGAAAACCCCTTAAGGAGTAACCTGCAGTACCATCCCCCAAATGCCATTCCACGAACATTTGATGCCCATTTATAAATTTAGAATCTCTCTCTCTCGGTTTCCTCTACTTTTTTTTTCATAATCTCATATAAGACCCGCTTACAGCCTGAGTCCCCTCTCCACCCCCGCCAACGAGACTACGATTCCGATTGTGTCAACCCCCCCATTGGAGCGTGTAAAAGTTTTGCGCCATTTGATTTGGATTAGTTGCGCGCCGTAGAGGGAGGGGAGTCAGAGAGGCTCAGCTGCGCCAACAAAGAATTGTCAACAAGAAAAAAGTTTTACTTTCGAATCGGACAAAACTTTTGCCGGCAATTGTTTAGACTCTGAATCGCGAAGATATTTCAGAACGTTAGCATAAAGTCGACAGCTGATGAGTGTGTGTGTGTGGGTGGATAGCGCAGATGGGAATAAGGTTGGTGGGGAATAAAGGGATGAACTGAGTTTACCATAATTTGAATGGAAGTCAAAGTTAAGCAGGTAACAAATAACAAAAAAACGATGCGACGATCCCGACTCAAACTAAGAAAATGTACGTACAGTAATAAGTGAGTGAAATAAAAAGCAAAGACCAAGCTAAGCAGCAGGTACTGGAACTTATTTGCGAGAGTGAGAGAGAGAGAGAGTGGCCTGAGAGCGAAACAGAGGCTACAATGACAACCGAAGTATTTGCAGGGAGAGCAATCAAATGGAGAGAACTGCGTTTTGTGTGAACGAAGAGCAAAGCTCGTGCTTGTGCAGTTGTTTTTGCTGGCATGATCGGGGGCGACAGACAAACCACAAAGTACAGCAACAACAATGTGCTCAAGGCGAAATACAAACAAAAATGCAATCACAGGAGTGGCCTGTTAACCCTAGATGGTTAACATTTGATGACGGATACAGTGTACTACATATATCCGTTATTCTCTGTCATTTTATCATTATGCCAGTTTCGCAGCATAATTAGAATGTAGTAAAAATAAGAATGACCCTCTAGGGTTAATACATCCTCACTGCTCTGACAACTTGCATACATACTATGTATGTATGTATGCGTATATACGTATATTGATATGTATTGATTTTGTGGAAATTGTAAACATAATTCATTTGAAACTATTACCAAATTTCAGATTATTATTGTCTGATAAACATTCTAGTCCATCAGGGCTCCCCCTTAAAGTTTTCCTTATTATGTATTTAATCGCCCGCTTACATACAGCTCACATTGTCAGAACAAACCTGTAATTAGCTGATTACCAAATGTTTCTCTTCTGTCATTTTGAGGAGGAAGTCCTATGACACAGCCGCTAGTCTGATTTCTGACTTGTTAGCCATTATTTATGCCACAAAAAGGAAATGTGTCTCACATTCAAAACTGATTGTCATGTTGTCACACAAAACCCAAAACCCACACACACACACACACACACACAAACATAATGAAACATTTGGAAATAAGCGAATACCAAACCGAGAAAACCAAAATATGTGTATGTCCTGGGGTAGGAGAGCTTTTGTAAACGTATTTAATTACATTTGCCAATTGTCTATGAATATGTTAGCAGCGTGTAAATACAAATGAACAAATTAATAAATATGTATGCACAGACGGCAGACGCCAGACGGTATGGCGTTGGCGATGGCCCCAAACGGAATGGAATGCAGTCATCCAGTACGCTTGTTGTATTGTCCTTGAACATGCCGAAAGATAAACTTACTCCGTTCTGTGTTTGGGTTGTCTGTCCCTCTGTAGCTCCCTCCCCACCTCTTGTGTGCACAAATCTGCCTAAAATGTTTGCTTTGAAATGCGTATACCATTGATAAGCCCCTGGCCGAATGGCTCCCACACCCGCACCCGAGTCCTCACCCGAGTCCTGGTTCCTGGTTCCTCTCTGGTCACTGATTGAATTTCCAGGGCAGACCGCAAAAGACCGAACGAGCCCGAAACTCATTTACATCCGTGTGTGGTGGTGGTGGTGGTAGTGGTAGCACTCGCATGTACAATGATGAAAATTATGGTTGGAAATTAAATACACATCTCTCTTGGTTGGAGGTTGGTTTATGTTCGATTTGTAGCCTCCTGCTGCTGCTGCTGCCACTGCTGCTTCATTGTATGGTAATGAGGTAAACGATCCCTTTCTATTGTATACTAATTAAGTTGCATTTTTGACCATTTCACAAATATTTGACTGAATATTTTAATGTTTTGTTTGGTTTTTTTTTTGCTGATTTCTGGAAGCACCCTAGTGACCCTTTTGTGCAACTGTAAACTTTTGATTCATTTTTGTGCAGCATTTGCAGTCAAAAGCAATGCAACTCATGAATAGAGAGGATAGAAAGCAAAAGGGACACATGGGACACTCCTTTGGACTCGCTTTGTACGAGTCGTATTCATATTTCGAAGTCATTTCATTGGCTTCATTGAGCTTTGATGAAATAAAGCTACAACCATTTAATCATTCACTTTGTGTTTCTTTTACAAGTTTTTGGAAAAAGGAAATTTTGTTGGAAGGACGAAAAGAATTTGCTTTACACAAA